ATGATGATGCTTCCCTCTGGAATTACTGCTTAAATTGTATAAATGTAAATATAAATAAATTGTATGAAGACCTGCAAATAGAATAGAACGACTGTGGCAAAAGAAAGCAAAGATATTGCCAATAATAATAGGTGTCTTGGGGGCAATCCCAAAGCATCTGGAGCACCACTTGAACACCATCAGCATTGACAAAATCACCATCAGCCCCTTGCAAAAGGCAGCTTTACTTGGAACAGCTCCCATACTGCGACGATACCTTTAATATTATTAAACAACATCTGCCTATCTCAGGTCCTTGGGAAGGACTCGACAGGTGGACAAAAATGCCAAATCCAGTCTAAACATCTGGCTGACTGTGTGACCAAACATACTAATAATGCATCCCTTTGCAATTACTGTTTAAATTCTTCAAAACATGCAACAAAATGTTTCCCTCCTGTCTTTTTTTGTCCTTTAGCACACAACAGTATCGTATGTCTTCCAAATGTGTGTGTGTGTGGGTGTGTGTGTGATAGAGACAGAGCGGTGTATTTTTACTAGCAAAAATCGAACTTGAGATATATTCATCTCCCATCATCCACAACGAGCACTACGGCTTGGAAGCAACTTGCCCGTTCTATTTTAGCTTCGAGCGTCCACCACTGTGCTTCTGAAAGTGAAGCTGGAAAGTGTGTTTTGGAGCAGATGTGACAATGCCCACAGCAACTATATCTTTTCCTAGGTTCACAAGTTAGCAGCATGATGCCAGGAAAATACATATTTGAGTCGGGTAGACCCCAACAGCATGCTCAACCCTGCTGCAAAACATCGTGTCACGTATTGTCGTCTCTTTATGCCAGATGCTATTTTTCTAGGAGTCCAGAAAAAGGTGCAGATTTTTTAAGGAGGTGCCCACAGGTATGGTGTGAATGCTGACACCCATTCCGAAGTCCCTTTTCAGATTTGGATCTGAAGCATGGCATTGCCCTCGCTATACCCCAAAGCGTTGCAGCCTATCGCTTTAAAAGCACTAACGGAGGTCTGGAACCTACAAAGGCAGTCTAAGGTGTTTTTGCTCCTTGAAGCAAGAAAGCAGATGGCCTTCTCCAAGGCTTAATATCCAAAGCCAGTTGAGTCATTCTGCACCTGAACTAGAAGATCCCCAAAGAGGGAGTGAAAATATACTGTGGATGATAAATGAAATCATAGAACTGGATGCTTCCTCCTGAACAATAAATAGGAAGTTGATTTACAACAGTGAACCTGCCTTTGCCTCTCTAGCTCAATCCTGGTGGTGGCCATCCCGCATCCCCGCCATCACTTCCTGAATCTTTTAGCCCGAGAGGAAGAAAATCCGGAAGCTGATTTTTCATCTTCAAATGCGGCTTCCTTCTGCACATGCTCAGACACCTCCTTGCAAGGTCTTTGATTATTTAAACTCTGCCTTTCAGCAGTTAACTAAGGCTTATAACTAAGTTTAGAAAAACACCATTATCATAGGTGACAACACTTAGCTAACTTTGGCGATTTAGAGAGTTAAGCAGGGTGGGTCTGATTAGTACCCATATGAGGAATCATTGGCCTGGATTTGTGCCACATGCTTAGCCCCTGGTGTTCTCCCCTCCAAATTCTAACCAACTCCAACCCAGCTGAGCTTTTCAGCATCAGCCCAGATGCACAAGTTACCGCTGTCTAGATGGTTTTTTTTAATGTGCTTCTCCATCAGTCTTGACTCCTGTGACTGCCTGGACAAGCTCCTGCAGTTTTCTTGGCAAGGTTTTTGGAAGTAGTTTGCATTGCCTTCTTTCTGGGGCTGAGAGCAGGTGACTGGCCCCAAATCACTCAACTGGCTTCATGCCCAAGGTAGGACTAGAACTCACTTAGTCCCAGTTTCTAGACTGGTGCCTTTAACCACTACACTAAACTATCTCTCACCATCCAGCTGTACCATACGTCTTATTAGGTTGACTCAGAGACAGGACAGAATTAGTGGCATAAAATATTTATGTCACCTCTACGGATCATTTCCTTCCTTCCTTCCTTCCTTCCTTCCTTCCTTCCTTCCTTCCTTCCTTCCTTCCTTCCTGGACTCCTGCTTTAATTTTATCTTTACTGATTTTACAGATTCAGTAAACATCTTGATTTTCCACTGGAGCAGCTGTGGGGCAGGGTAGGGTCAAAAAAGTCAAGATGGCAGCTTCAATCAGATGGTCACCAGCACCATCTTGACTTTTTTTGACCCTGCCCCGGGATGAAGCTGATTCTCCAAAACTCCTTTTTCTGAAGAATTCCAACCCTTGATTTAATGTGCGTTGCTTGCCTAATTATGGAGTTGACTTTTTATATCATTTGCACCCATGTCTGTGCAATTATTATAATTGGCCTTTGTGTTACCCGGATGATGCAAATGGCTGCAAATGACATCAAAACATATATTACAGAAATACAGAAATGAAATGAATTATCGCATTTGATTTAACTGCTTTTGCTATTGCGGGGTATATTAAGAAGGCAATGCTTACTTAACATTCTGTTTTTATTGTTTTCCCGCAAATTGCTTGGGACCCAACCAGGACAAAGAGTGTTATAGGTATAAAATAAATAATAAGCTATAATGGTTGGCAATACTGTACAGCACCCCCATGTTAGCTGAAATCTGCTCTCCATACATTTTTGTTTTCACTCTTCCCTGCTCTTCCCCTTGCAAATTAGGGGAATAGCAGCAAAAGGAACGAGCTGAAGGCCAGAACCATAACATCCAAACATCCTGGCTTGATGCAAATCAAGGGGACCGATCCTGCACGCTTACCCACCTCCATAGAAAGAAAAGGGCCCGTTGGGGATCAGCTCGCCCGGTTCCAAACGGTCCACCAGCGGTCTCATGCGGCGGGGGCTGCGGAAAAAAGCGTGCCTGCGGGCCCCTAGTGCGCTCAGCTGTTTCATGCGCCTTTCCTTGGAGCGCCGGTTCTGGAACCAAACCTAACAGGGAAGACGGAGAAAAGGAAACAGGTGAAAGTTAGTCCCTTGAGTGGGAAACAACCAGAGATCACATTGAGCAATTAACAGTACTAGGTATGGATGGAAACTAAGCACCCAACACCCCGTTACTCCAAATGGGCAAGAGAACGAGGTTCAAGAGGGTTGGTATGGTGGTTCTGTAAGTAGGCTTCGTTTTTGCAGCACCGCAGCGGCTTAGAATTCTTCCCTTACGGCTTTTAAACTTTTCTTCAGTAAAGACTGATCAGAAGTTCTTGGATTCTTGTACAGTAAAGATGCATGATGAAAATCAGGGACGGCTCTCCGAAAGAACTCAGTCTTTAAAAGCTTCTGAAATATTGACCCCCTATATTAAAGAAGTCTCTGCTTTGGGGGTGTATCGGTTTTGGAAGGGGAATAGTTCAGTTGTTGGAATTCTTAGGACTCCATCCCTTCTGAAATTTGGAAGATTTTTGTCCTCATAGCCTTGCTGTGAACTGGCGAGTCTCTGAGAATGGAGGAGTTTGCAGCTGGTTGTTTACCTAAATGACTCCTGAATCATTTATCAGTCTGGGAAGCATTATCCATGGTTTCCTCAATTAAGCCTATTTTCTGGGTTACCCAAGACAAACCATACACAAACCCTTCAGGCTGGCTAGGTATGAAGAACTAAATGATAATGCAGTCATTCAGTTTGTGGTAGTATGTGGTACAGATTTGTAAGTACAGAATGAGAGGCGAGAACCATGGTTAGAAAGAGAGGACTTCAGTATAATGTACCCATGTTGGCACTCCACATTTTGCCATGTTCCGAGTTCCACATCCCATGGAATCATAAATCTGCCAAAGTGTTAGGTAAACAATACGCTACATCCCCACCAAAAACCTTAACAAGTTTAACCCTGATCAGCCATCTTGACTTGTGCGCAAGCAAACGGCAGCTCTTGAATTGGCCTGGTTAAGCAGGTTGTATGGCTGAAATTTAAAGTTTGTACATGCTATTGTTATGGACCTTTTCTCTATATCTTGCCCATCCTTTTTTCCTTTCCTTTCTCTGTTTTTGTGATTTGGGGGGAGAGCACAAAAGAATTTTCTCCTGCTGCTTCTCCTTCAATAACTGGTCTTTTCCTTTTTGGAGTTGAGGTCTTCCAAAACGAGAAGACACAAAGGAAAATGTCAAGCTAGCAGCTTAACCAGCAAAGAGACTTGCGTCAGTTATGCCTTCCCAGCAAAGTTGGACTTCAGGATTTCAATGTTGAGAGCCCCAAAGTTCAAGAGAGCCCAGTTGGTCTTCTGCCTAAAAGATCAGGGCATTCCCTCCAAAAGGAGGGGGGGGGCTTCTTTTTAAAATTTGAGGAAGACAGAGAAAATGTAATTCCCTGCAAAGAGACCCCCAAGGCTAGGATGTGTTAGAGTTACACTTTGCATTTTTCTCCCAAAGCTCAGGATGGCTTCCAAGGGGATCTCCCTTTGTCTTAGCTCTACAACAACCCTGTGGGGTAGGCTGAGATGAGAGAGAGAGCAAGGGGTCCAAAGTGAGCTTCCATAGCTGTGAAGAGGTTTGAACCTGGATCCCCCCAACCTCTTAGCCACCGTACCTGTCTGTGACTCGAGGCATCACTGTTCTCCTTTCCACAGGACAGTGTTTCTCAGCCTTGAGAACTTTAAGATGTGTGGACTTCAACTCCCAGAATTCCCCAGCCAGC